CCTCCCCCCCCTTCCTTCCTTCCTGAGGTCATGCAACTTCCTCTGGTCTAGCTCAGGCTGTCTTGCCATCAGCTCCTCTTGCCAACTTTCCCCTTGATCTCTTACTAAAATGGTACTTGATTTCTTTCAGTTCTTAGAACCAACCAATCTCCTCTTGCCTGCAGACTTTTGTTCATGCTGTTCTCTGACTAGAAGGCTTTTTATCCAGTAGTTTTCATATCTTGGGCTGATAAGACTTTTAGGAAAATTTTTCACTGAGTAAATCCTTGCCACTTCTCTAGCTTTCCAACCCTAATTCAGTGTGGTCAAAGTGTTTTCATAGAACTGCTTACAGTTTTTTACACATTTCTTTTATTGGCACTTCTCAATAGTGTGGTCATTGAAATAACATATCTACTTCCCATTTAATCTCAACAACTCATTCAAATATGCTGTTACTCTCATTTTAATGAGTTCTGTTTCCTGCCCAAGACCATTCAGCTAGTAAGTGGGGGAATTTGGATTTGAACTAGGACAATATAGACAGAAACTGTTTGCTTTTCCTTGCTATATCCTCAATACCTACCTAGGGCCTCATGTAATATATTGAATTAAGACAAAAATATACTTAAAATTATTAAAGATTTATTTACTTTTATTTTATGTGTGTGTTTGCCTGCATGTATGTATGTACACCATGTGCAATGCATGGTGCTGGGGGAAGCCAGAAGAGGTGTCAGATCCTCTGGAATTGTAGTTACAGATGGTTGTGGGTGTTGGGAACTGAACCTTAATCCTCTGCATAGAATTTTAATACATGATGCCAGTTTAAACTTAAATCATTGTTAAGAAAACATAGTCCAGATACGTGTAACTGGTATAGCCACCTTTCCATTTTCTCAATTTATGTAACTGATTTCTTTCATCATTAGGTGTGTACAAGCTGTGAAGACAATGCAGAAGCGAATGGGTTTTGTGTAGAGTGTGTCGAATGGCTCTGCAAGACTTGCATTAGAGCTCACCAAAGGGTGAAGTTCACAAAAGACCACACTGTCAGACAGAAAGAGGAAGTATCTCCAGGTAATGAACTGGTTCATTTCTTTTTTCTTTTTTTTTTTCTCTCTCTATATTTTCTGTTTTATTATGTTGACTCATTTCAGTATACTTACAAATATTACATATACATAAAATAAGCTTTTTAATAAAAAGAGGTCAACATTCTAGAAGAAATTGTGGAACTTAGAAATGTTGGTAAATCTGAACTACATATTGAATCTTTCCTTAATTCATAGCCCAGCCCTCCTGTTTCTATAAATGCATTTGCTGTGAACAAATGAAAGTTGCTTTATCTTATTTTTCTTATCTCATTTTGTGTAAGGTGATGAGAAATGGGCCCTAAACCTTTCAGAATTCTTTCTTTAGGTATTCTTGTAGTAAGCTTTCATCTGATAATAGATCACCAATAAAGCTTTGCTTCCTATGTACGTACGATTTTTGTGTTTTTATTGTGTTATCTTTGTTTTGTTTGCTTTTTTGAAGCAGGGTCTCAATATGTAGCTCTGGCTGGCCTGGAGTTCATTATGCAGACCAGGCTGGCCCCTGCCTCCCAAGTGCTGGGATTAAAGGCATGCACCACTACTTATTGTGTTACTTTTTTGTTTTAATTTATGTGTGTGAGTGTATTACGTGTATGTGTGATAGTGCATCCTTGTTGTGCAGTACCCATGGAGGTCAGAAGATGCCATCGGATTCCCCTGGAACTGGAGTTATAGACAATTGTAAGCAACCATATGGGTGCTGGGAATTGAACCCTGGTCCTCTGCAAGAGCAGCCAGTGCTCTTAACCATTGAGCCATCTCTCCAGCCCCTTTATTGTGTTACTTCTAATGTAAAGTTCACTAGTAGGTATTTTATTTCAGCAAATCTGTATATAGTTTTTTTTCAATTAAACTATTTTGAAGTGTGCAATTTAGTGGCATTGTTTACTGTGTTTTACAAGCATCCTCACTGTCTATTTTATTTGATGCTTTGCTTATTTCATTTGGCATAATGTTTTAAGAGTTCATACATGCAAAAGAATGTCTCAACTTTGTTAGTATGTCTCAGTGCTGTTGTTTAAAATTTATTTTCTTGCTGTTGGTCTTTGAGTCAACCAGTGTTTGTGTTCCTCCTCTATGTTCTAAATTTTGCTGAGTGCTTGGAATGAAAACATGAAAATGTTAGATGTTGCCTGTACTCAAGGATTTTATAGTATATATTAAAGAGTGTAAGCAAATAAATAATCATAGTTTGGCCTACTGAATCCTATTGTGACACATAAAATGAGTACTAACCTCTGATTTGGGGAGCTAGGTTCGAGGCTAAATAAATCCAGTTGTAAGAGCTGATGAGGAAACTGAAGAGTTGCATGGTAGCATCAAGGCTACATTTGAAGTATGGACCATGAGGCTTACTCTTTCACATCTTAACAATCTGGGTATGGTATAGAGAATGGGGCTTATGTAGGGTTGGAAGTTAGTCTGACAGGTCTCCTTTGGATTTTAAACTGGATAAAGGTAGTACAAATTACAGGCATATGCTACCACTCCCAATTTATGTGGTGCTAGGGATTTATCCCAGGGTTTTGTGCTTGCTAGGTAGTATACCAAACTGAGCTGTATCTTCAGCCTCTGCAAGAATTCTTTTAAAGAATGAAGAAAATTTCCCATTTTTTGCTTTTTATTGTAAACTTTGTCTTGTGATTAGAAAATGTAAATCTCTTAACTAATTCTCCTTTGTAGTTATTTTGAGGGTTTTCCTATGAATTTAAAATCGTGAATATTTTAGCTGAATCAAACATTTAAATAAAAAATTAGTTTACGTCTGAGAGTTTATACTACATTTGGATTTTGTAAAAAGGACCCTTAATAATCCCCCCAATAAGAATTAAAAAATGGGATTTCATGAAATTAAAAGGTTTTTGCATAGCAAAAATGAAATAGGCTACAGAATGGGGGAAAAATATTAGCTAGCTATTAATCTGACCAGATTAAGACCTAAGGTATGCAGTGGCTAGGGAGATAGCACTGTTCATAAACTGCTTACTGCACATGCATGAGGACCCAATGTAACTCTCAAACATCCACATTTTGTTTGTAAGTCCAGTGGTAGGGAGTCAGGACAAATGTTAATTCCTAGGGCTTGTTGTCCAGGCAGCCTAGCTTAATAGGCAAGCCCTAGGTCTCTCAACAAAGCAAGGTTGGATGGCTCCTGAGGAATGACACCTGAGATTGACCTCTGGTCTCCATACATATGTATGTATGTATGCTGTAACCCCAGAACAGGAGGTGGCCAGGTCACTGGTCAGTCAGTCAAACAGAAACTATAAATTCAAGATTCAGTAATAACCTTTTTTTTTTTTTAAAGGTGGAGAGCTATAAGAAAACACACCCCTGTCAACCTCTGCCTTCCACATGGTGCACACAATGGCAAACAAACATAAATCATATACACTGCACATTCATAAATACTTAAGACATAAAAATAGAAGAGAAGACTATTTGGGGAAGAGGAAGGGTCCAATGGGAAGGTGGGGGTGGACAATTGAGGGTGATGTGAGAGTGAATGTTAATTAGGAAAGTATGATGTACATACCTAAAAATGTCTAATGAAACCATTCTGCAAGAAAAATATCTGAGAATAAATAATGAAGCAAGTGAAACTAAATTTTCTAATATTCATTAGATAATTTGTTCAGTGTTTGTACAGGTCAAAAAGAATTGGATAAACAAAATGGGAAAATCTTAGTTTTTAAATTCAAGTGGCTGATGACTGAAAAGTTGTTTAATGTCAGTTATTAAAGAAATATATCCTAGGATAGTGAAGTATGTCTTTTTGTGGGTGCGTATGCGTATCTCTGCTTACCCCTTACATGTCATTGGCAAAAATTAGGAACATTGAGTCTACTCTTTACATGTTAGGCATATACATTGTTCCTTTTTTTTTTTTTTTTTTTTTTTTTTTTTTTTGGTCTTTTTGAAACAGGGTCTCCCTGTAGCCCCAGCTGGCCTGAACCTCCCTATGTAGACCAGGCTGGCCTAGAACTCACAGAGATCCGCCTGCCTCTGCCTCCCAAGTGCTGGGACTACAGGAGTGTGCCACCACACCTGGCTACATTGTTCCACTTTTTAGAGAACCATTTAGTTGTTTCTCTATAAATTATCCTTTGACAAAACAATTCTAAGGATTTCTTATGAAAAGATTTAAATGACTTATGAAATTCATATGCTTTCTTCAGCACAGAAATACCAAAAAGCAGAA